TTTAGATGCAGCCTATTCCAGTGTGGGTCCCCCCTGGTATTCCAAGTCCTTCCAGGAAACCTGCTTCAGAGTGCACTACTCTCTCCACAGGCCTGCAGGCCCCAGCCGCACAGGTCTCCCCCAGATTTCTCTTAGGCATCCATCTGCTCCTCCATGGGCTGCAGGTGGATCTCTGCATCCCCATGGACCTCCCTGGGCTGCAGGGGCACAGCTGCCTCACCATGGGCTGTGCCAGGGGCTGTGGGGGAATCTCAGCTCTGGTGCTTGGAGCACCTCCTCCTTCTCCTTCTGCACTGACCTTGGTGCCTGCAGAGCTGTTCCTCTCATGTGTTCTCACCACATTCTTTGCTGGCTGCAGTTACATCAGTGCAATCACATTTCTTGTCCCCTGCTCTTAAATCTATAATCACAGGTGCGTTATCACCATTTCTGATTGGCCCAGCCTTGGCCAGCAGCATGTCTGTCTGGGAGCCAGCTGGGATTGTTTCAACAGGGGGTGGGGGTGGCTTCCAGCAGATTCTCACAGAAGCCACCCCTGTAGTACCAAAAACCTGGCCATGCAAACCTAATGCACTGTGATATATAAAACACCTATCAAAAACACTTGGAATGTGTTAGAATTGGTAAAAATTAGTAAACAAATGCTGAGCAAAGATCAGACTAGATTTTTAAATAAATCTAAATGAAATCTAATATTTGTAAACATCAAAAGGTCTCTTTTTCATTGAGTTAATGCCTTACACATTTTGTGTAAGTGCACACTGCGCTTAGAAAGTTAGTTTCCAGCCGTACTCTGCCAAGGTCTGAGCAGTGGTCTGGGTGCCGTGGCCTTCCCAGAGAAGCGTCCCTGGAAGGACACTCTCGGGTGCTCAGGCACTCCCTGCCCTGCCAAGAGTGATCTCAGCCCTGAGCCCTGAAAAGGGCTCTTGAGCCATTGCAGCTCTTCGGTTGATATCTGGGAGACACAAAAGGAAGGACGGGAGCCTCGTGTGGTGTTCCACAAGAAGCCTTTATTCTTGGGCCAGGAACAAGGAGAACTCTGGTTTCCACAAAGGGGTCAGGGACAAAAGACTCCAGATAGTCAGAGGGAAACAGGGGCTTATACAGGAGCATCACGACTAGTCCACTGAGGGTTCAGGGGCAGAGCAAAAGGGAAGGACCAATAGAGTACACAGAATTTGCATGGGATACATAAAATTTGCAGGGGCTGCAAGGCATGCTGGAAGTGACTCCTTTTGTTGCCCCAAAAGAGGAAGAACTCTTCTAGGAGCTTTCCCTCCAAGGGAGAGTTGTGGGTTCATTGTTAATTGGCCCACTGGCCTCCACAATATTCATTTATTTATTCTGTAGAAGAAAATTTAAACTTTTCTTTCTTGAATTTCATGCTTATTATACAACTGCAATTGCATTTCTATCACATGCCTGTGAATATTTTTCCTCTGCCATTTTCAAAGTATTTTATGCACAAACCCAAAAGCTGTACTCCTCTTCATCTTTAGCTATAAATATAGCTTTTTTTTTTTTTTTTTCAGCACAAGAACTGTTCTAAAAACTCTCCTGGAAATTCTTACAGATGTAAGATGCAGACAAAATCTCCAATTCTCAAATAAATAGTGACAAGTAATGCAGTCCAGGAAAAGATCAGCCAGGTTTTCAGTTGGCTTTTATTTTTTGCATTTTTCCAGTATAAATTTTTATATTAATGCCTTATTTCTCTCTTTTCCCTCCATAAATGAAGAATATGGCTCTTGAAAGGTGACTTGCAAGTACACTGTGTCCTGAAGTTCTCCCATTTAAATGGCAATAATGCTGGATTAATCCCCAAGAGTTTGTGACTTCCTTTCTGCAAGCCAACCAAAACTCACCTCAGCCACAGAAGATCGTTGATATAAAATGGCTCAGTGTCTCAGCAGCAGTGCAGAGGAAGTGATCTGAAGGAGACCAGGAGTGAGGGGTGGGTATTTGTTTAGATAGCCCACTAACAAAGCCTGTGTCGTTGCATCACAGCCTCCCAACATCCAGTGTTTGACATTCTGTGTAGGAGAAACTGATGACTTGGAGGAAATCAGATATTTATAAACAGTATCTTATACTTTTCAACTTTCCTTGGCTATCAGGAATGATAAAAACATGGATTTGAAAATGCACACATGCAGCACTTAAACCGCATCCTTCTTAAACAAGTTCTATTTCTGTGATGTTATGCTCGTATACATGTTTCTGTTCTGTTCAAATACTGTAAAATGGATCCTCTACTTGTTTTTATGAAGAGTGATTGTGTCATTTACTTTGATGCCCAAATATTTCTGTGTCTCTGAAAAGACATTCTTTGTCCTTGGATCCAGAGGTGATGTGAGTTCCTCTTCTGACCCATTAAAGTGCCTAGGACTGGCTCCCATGTTGATATTACTTATTGGAATCAGCCTGTAAATCAAGCTGGTCTAGAAAATACACTGAAGGGGTGACATATTGGGCAGACCAATTGATTCCCTTCAGAGTGAGGGAAAGCAAGGGATCTGAGAACACATAGAGTCTGAAGAAAGCCAGATGAACCCCAAGGGGAAGCAGAGGACAGCACTGCCCTGGAGGAAAACTCATTTGAAATCAGTAGAAAGTTTATGTTTCCTCTCTGGGAGATTCAACCTTCATTGCTGAATTTACATTTTCTTCATTGTTTTAAACTCCCTTTCAAGACCCTGTGTCTCTGACTTGGTTTCTAATTTAAGTCCAGTATTTTAAGGACTGAAGAGCACTATATTTTTTTTTCTTTCCCTAAATCTAAAACGGTTTATGCAATTAAATGTGGTGTGTAATAAGTGTTTAGCAATTCCTGAGATAGCAGGTACCACAACACGTCTGTCACTTTGTCTGTCAAACCTTTCTTAGTGATAGCTGGCTGTACGATTAATAGCATTCAATGGGGAAATGGAGAAGGAGATCACCAGAGATTACTGTACATATTTTGATCCATCACCCTTTGTAAACCATATACATTGATGTTCAACATTTTATTTTTATGAACAGGATTTTCTAGGACCCTGCTTCTCCTTTCTACCTTGTTACCCTCTGATCTGAAGAAAGTTTGGCACCTTTTTCATTGTTGGTCTCTGAAAATAAACAAGTGTGAAAAAAGTATGAATATTTTCTGCAATACTGCTATTAAATGTGGGTATTCAGTGTAGACACCAGAGTTCTTGTGACGCTAACAGAGCTGCTCAGCATTGACTTCCCAAAGTTCCTGTGTGCTAGGTACACAGCCCAGGGCTCACTCCAAAGTTTATGAATCACTCCTTGCAGCCAACATCAAGAAGTGAAAGTCATTGAAGTGGCAACTGCTGCCACTGATAAACAAAGTTGTGGCATCTTTTCCTTTTCTTTATCCATAAGGCTGAATCCTGGAGCTTGTACTTCCTGCAAGCTCTATGTTTTTACCTGGCTGTGTCCTCCCCCTTGTCCAGGAGAGGCCCTGTGTTGCAGTAGCCTTCTGAGCGAAGAGGTGTGTGTGTTCCACACAGCAAGGTGAGCCAGCAGCAAGGCAGCAGCGTGGGGCTGGCAGATGGGGTGGTGCCACCAATGAGAACCCAGTTCTATGTGCTCCCACCCGGTCCAGTGCAAAGGGTTGTGGCAGTGGGGAATAATATGAAATGGGATTTTTTTTGGAATGTTTTCTACTCTCTCTTAGTCTGTCTGGTCATTAGTCTATGAACGGTGTAAATTCAACAGATTGTGCTGGATCAGAAGATAAGACTACCACAGAAAGTTCTTTGAAGATAAAGGGCCTCTCTCTTCATCCAGGGAAGATGGACAGGTCCTAACCATACTCAGGGGATAATAGATTTTGTTTATTTTGCATGTCATGGAGATTGCTTGGCTCATGCCAGAGCATTGTACTGACCTTCAATTCATGCTTCAGTAGAAAACAAAGCAAGACAAAAGAAGGCAATTTATGACTGGCTTCTAGTCTGAGTATTGAATAGTATTTTTTTCTCTAAAACAGGAGCCGCCTTGGGTCATCTGGAGACTGTCCAATAGTTTTTAAACTATGTGCTTAGTTCCTATTGCTTTTTAAAGCTATTACAACAGGAGCAGGATATAAATCTATGTTTATTAAAGGCAGTATTTATGTGTATTCAATTTGCTCAGGCCTGAGGCAATGTGTTACTACAAACATGATAAGTAATTTCAGTGGAGCCCTTAAAGAAGATATTAGCTGTAAGAATTCCTTAAAGACCATTTGTCCCAAAACTAATGTAATGTATACCTGAATGTATAACAGGAGAAGTAGGTACCTCTGTAATTTAAGAAACAACTCAGATATCTGTGGATCTAGTCTCTCAGAAAGGGTATTGATATTTTGGCTTTATCTCCTGTAATTGCCAAAGATAAATTTTTGCTTCAGTGTTCTTAATAAATTTTATAGGTACTTGAGCACAATTGTCCTGTGCTTGTGTTCGATAAGCCTATATTACTGGCAGCAGCAGACAGAGAAAACAGGTCTCTAAAAATCTGAACAGAGAACAGAGACATTTGTAGATGTAAAGATAGCTAACATGAGCTGATACATGCTTTGAATTAATATTTTTAAAGTCGGCAGTTTCAGCTATACAAAGAAAAATTCTATCAGTAATTCAGAATTTTTAATTTAGAATGCTGTCTTGGGGTGATTTTATGATGATACTCTGTTCCCTAATCACCTGCTTTATGCCCAGAAGTGGCTGCTGTACTTGAACCAGGTGGCAGGCCAGCGCCTGGGAACCTCAGGTGGGCTCTGCTCAAACCTCGGTCTCTCTCTGGTGTGCTCAGGCTGTGGCACAGACCAGGGCCCTACATTGTTCTTTTGGTTGCATTGGTTTCTGCTAGCTTGAAGCAAGAAGTCTCTTTTTTTTAGCTTCCTCTAGCTTGGAGGTGGTACTAGGAATCCTATCAGTGGCTTTTTGTTTTTGGTTTTTTTTTCCCTTGAACTGTTTTCAGTTTGGGATTTTTTTTATCTGTCCAGGGAGCTGGCAGGGACTATCCTAAACCCAAAACCTTGGAGAAGCTGAACAAACATGAGAAAGGACACTAAAATCCACCAATTTCACCTGCTGTGAGGAGGAGATCAACACCAAGAATCCAACAGATTCCCAGCTGCTGTGTGAACATTTTTTTCTCCCCTTCCCCTGAGACCAAGAGGGCAACCCACCATCTTTACTTTCCAGCTGCAAGGTGAGGTGGGTGTGGGGTGTGAGGTTCAATTTTTTTTTTCAGTGTCTTGCAGGCATCTTGTTTTGTTAATAAACAGTTTTACCTTTTTTTCATTTTCACCCACTGATATTAATTTCTCTCACTGGCAAAAAGAGATGATTGGAGCCCTTTTCTTTGGAGAAAAACACTCTTACCGGGGTGTTTTCTCCTAAAATTTGTCCCTTAACTGAGAGAAATGGCTATGGAGATATGTCAGTCCATCTGTATCCCTGAAGTAGTATGGGCATATGTGATATTGGCAAGGTTGGATGTCACAAAATAATCAGCACAAGCACTGGGAATATGGAAAAGGTCTATTCTACTATTTGAATATTCTATTCAAATCTAGAGTAATATTAAAATTGAGCACTAAAGCTAAGGAAGCTGATAAGCAAAGGGATACAGGAGATGTTTCTATGTAATGCTACTGGCTTTAAAGCTATCTTGAAAATTTTTCACTTACACCCTGGCAGTAGAGTAAATGCAGACCTGTGCTCATGCCTGAAGAGGAACCTGCTAAGGATGTGCCTTTCTGTATCTGGTATTCAGATCCTGTACTAGCTGTGGTAAAGCCTTGCTTCTGGAAACATTTTTGCTGGTGATACTACATGAGGTTAGCAATGAGAGGTTCTCTTCTGTCATAATTTCTAACAGAGAAAAAAGTCTCTGTCCAGCTTAGATGCTATGGTTTGGTCATCTGTGGGTGACTTTATCATACTTTGCTCTCAGTCCTTAGAAGTAAATTAACTAACTGATTTCAGGAGTTAATATAAGGACTAAAGTGGCATTTTCTTCTTAAAAAGCAACTAAACAAGATAATCAAGTCTTGTTTTTCAGTGAAAAGTTAGAATTTTCCACCCAGGGCTCCAGTCTGAAATTTGAGTGGAGTACAATAATTCTCAGCCAAGCAAGCTCTGTGAAACATAAAATGGACTCAGGTTGTTACTATAATTTTTAAAGCATCTGTTTTATTATTAATATACTTTTAATACTATCTCTCTGATTGTTTTACAGACTGACTACAATTTAAGTTAATGCAAAGACATTAAAAGGTTGCCTTTTAAATTTTTAACAGGAATAAAAATGTACACAGAGCATGGACTGTTTTGAACTATCTGGATCTGATCTACAAACAAGCTAATACCATTTCACACTTTGTTTTAAATATTTTCCTGGAAGTCACAGATGCTTCTGATTTGTATTTTTGTAGCCACAGTTTCCTAAGTGTTCTAAATACCAGTTGAATGATCTTCTGGAGGTTTCCAAAAAGTTGAGACCAAATTTCCACCCAGGTGAAATATACTTGGAAAATTAAAGATGGAGATAAAGTAATTTAAATTGTAGTAAATCCCCCCAACAACTGCAACAACAAAAACATCAAATAAAAGTGACCAGACAGAACCAAACCCACCCCAAAACTACAAGAAAACCCCAACCCTTCACCAACACATATCAAAGGACATTGGAGAAATGAAAGCAGAGGAGAGAAAAATAAAGTAGCTTGTCTTTCTTCCCTTGCAGAAAGCTCTAATGGGTTTGGGGACTAAATACTGTGAAGAAATTCTGATTGGATTATCAGCAGTATTTTTGGCTGGACTCATCATCTGGCTGTGACTCAAATGGAGAAGTGAAAAGCCAGTTATCTGATAGGGTGAGTTTGAGTTTAAGTGGTTTATACTGTGTTACAGTTGTGAAGTGTGGGAACAGAACAAACAAATGTGCTTGTCTACTTAAAGGAAAACTCTTTTTCATTGTTTTCTTATTTTTTTTCCTTCACTTATTTCATTTTTAGCTGTTAAATCTCATAAGTACAGGAGTTTTGTGTGGCAGAAGAGTAAGTTTGCTCACTCACACGAACCACAGAGTAAAAGCCTGTTTTGAAAATGTAAATCTCCTAAAACATTGCATTTGCCATGTGTACATTATAGTTTATGAAACCTCTTTTTTTGCAGGTTTTCTTTCAAATAAATAGCAGTGATTTGATAAGGTTTTCTGCATGCTTTTAAGAAAAACACATGCAGCTTCTCTTTTGTTTCTCTGAACAATGTACATATCTAGAGCTTTAAGGACATGATGATATTGGTAACTTCTAATATGACCCTCATTCCATTTCAGATGATTTTCCTCATCCTTAACTAGTCCACAAAACTACGATTGAACTCAGGAAATTCTGAGAGGTCTAATGTCAGGCTTGAAGGTCCACAACACCTCTCAGCTATCAGGATTTGAGGAAAAATACTGACTGTCACTCCAGATCTCATAGCTGAATTTGGAGGATCCCAGCTGCCCAGATTTGTGACCTGTTGGGATAAGCTATGCCTTGAATTTCCTTTTCAAAAACCAGAAACAAATATGGGGAGGACACTGCTGGGGCTGTCCAGTGTCTAGAATGCATGTGTTGGCAGAAGAGCAGGGGAGTGTACTTGCAGTTTCTGACTAAGAGATGACCCAAGGGATCTAGACCCAATAAGGATCTACTATTGCCCTAAACGGATGCACTGCAGAGCATGCATGCGAGTTATAGATGCTCCTAATCAGTCTAATCTAATATATAATGGAGAACTACCAGTTATCCTTTACTATCCCACAAAAAAAAAAGCTGCATGTCTATACCCATGTGAACATTGTATCATTATATACATAGAAACATTGGTTCCTATGCACCTATGATCTGCTCCTGTGATTACAGATATGAGGATATGCCACACCTTACATGTTAACAGAGTTATTGACTAGGAGAAATAGTGAGCAAAACAGAAATATTCTGTGCTTTGGCAATCAAATCTTTCTCTGCATATTAGATAGAACATGAGACAGAACCAATTTATTTAATATGCTGCTTTATTAAATTTTTACCCTAAAAACAACTAAAAAAATAAGTTTTTTTCTCTTTAGAAATTAGAATCTCTATCCAGCTCAGAGTAGAAGATGACTTTGAAAAAGACAAAACAACAAATTGTGGCAGAGAAATGATACTTCTAACTATTGCAGTGAAAACATGGTTATAAACAGAAGTGGACTTCATTTTCTTTTATTTTTTCTTTTCAGTTTGTCTGTAATGAGCAGTGTTCAGAGATCATAGGGTGTTTTACACTGCTGATGAGTCAAGCCAACAGAGAAGAGCTTCTGAGCTGGGACCTACAGTAGCTTCCAAGTGTGAGTCATAGTCACTGGGGTGTCTATTCTTTGCATTTTCTGGGAATCACAGAGTCAAGAAGGCTTGTCACAGCCATCAGCTTTACCAGGAAGTTCTGATCTAAAACAAAAAATGACAAAGATCAAGGGTGCATCAACCAACAGGAGTGCAGACAGCTGCAAAAGTAATGGAGTTTGGACTGTGAATACTTGGCTGAGAAGAGACAGTAAGTATTATTCATTCATTTGTTATCATTGTTAAACAAAATGCCTAGAAATACAGAATAATTGAATAAGTGTGAATATATCCGCTGTGCTCAGCCTCATCCTGGGAAATAAATGAATGAACATATCATGTTACAAAAGAATGGAGATATGAGAGGAGCATAAGAACTTCCTATTTCTGTTGAGGAATTAGTGGCAGCTACTACCTCTTAGCATTGTCTAGTGCAATCTTAGGCAGCTTACACCCTGCCATCAGGTACCCACTAATGTAGTTTTTGTGCTTTTCATCCCTTAAGATTGAATAATTGGAGGGGTTTTGTTGTTTTTACACAACATCAGGAATCCCAACAGTATTCCTCCTCTTTCTCTTAATGATGAGAGCTTGTGTCAGTGCCAAGCAATCTGTGGAATAATTTGTAGGAGTTGTATGCTGTCCAGAATGTGCTACGCTAATGCCTCATCTCAAGAATGCCAGTAGTACAGTGACTTTCTTTTAATTAACTGTGATGTCAGCTTCGTGTAGGAGGCAAGCTCACAGCCTGTGAGTTGAATCTCTAAATTTCTGATCCAGGAAAGAGAATCACAGCATGCACAGGCAAGCAGTATTTGATATAGTTATAAAAATTTCCATGAGTTTGCTCTCCTAAGATAGAAAGCTGATCAACACTTACAGGAATTTCTATTTTTTACTGTTACAAGGTCTGGTCTGCACAGAATAATAAGAATGCTGTGCAGACATAGCACAGGAATTTGCCATTAGAAAATCAATTTGCTGAATGAAATTTAAACTGTCACAAATTATTTCTAGGTATTGAAAGTGAATGAAGTACAGGGATGAAGAAAAAAAACTTTGCAATCCATTTGGAGATGGTGTTCATTTCTCATACTTCAGGTGAATCCTATAAGAAAAAACTAAGAAAATTTAGAAACAGAGTCCATCATTCTCCAGAAATTTGCAGGAGATTTCACACTGGTCCTGTCTGACTAAGGTTCAATTCTGATCCTTCAAAAGGTGTTGAAAAGTTTCTCATTAGTTGCAAAGCCATCACAATTCCCTCAATAATACACAATTTAGGATGTTGTTTCTGTGCCTTCATATGGCGATCCACACCTCTCTCTATAGCCTTCTGAGAGGAATAGCAGGAATGCTTTTCTTTGGAAATAGCTTCATGCATGGGACAAAATGATGCTTTTAGTAAATATTTTATTTCCAAAAAGGGGTAAAACTAAAGCAAAACCATCCACCCAAACAAAAGACATCCAACGAAAGAGCTCACTCACCTGAACACAGTGACCCATTTAGTTCTTGGTTTGGTACCTGCCTCTGAACTTAGCTGTACTTTCTTGGGAAACTTCTAGGTATTTCATCTGTGTACCTTGATGATCACTCTGAATTTGGGACCTTTGAGCATCTGGATTCAGCTAGGGCATGCTTATTATTCTGGCAACTCTTTTCTGACAGACCATCCCATGGGCCCACTGGTTTTGCACTGGTCACCCACTACTCAACACCATAACTAAGTTCACACTGGTGAACCCTTGGGAATTCAATGCCTGGAATTCGATGCCTGAAGTAATTGCCCTCTGTTACAAGGGATTATCCGTACAGTATTTCTTTAGCCTCACAGAAAATAAAATTAAATAGCTAAAACTTCTGCAAATTTTTTCCAAATCTCATTGTGACTCTGGATCTCTCCTCTGGTATGAGGTAATACATACAAAGTGTCTTTCAGATGACAAAATGAATGACTTACAAAGTCTAGGATTACTCCAAGATATGTATTTGTTATTTATATTCACCCTGTCTAGGGGGTCTTTAAATTGCATATAGCCGACCTCTTCTTTCAGCAATCCAGCAATGATACTTTTTCCTATTTTCAGATACAACTTTTCTTCAGAAATTGCCTCCTTTTTGAAACAAAAGTAAAAACTCTTCTGCCATGATTGCTTGCATTCATATGGAATCTCTCTCAAACTACAGTATAGTTTATTTTGCTTTGCATGCTAAGAAAAATATTTGAAGATTGTATTGGTAGTTCCTGATGACAATGTCCATAAAAGCATAGATAAGAGAAGTAGGATATAATTCTTATAGTTTGCTATGACATTTATAAGATTGTGCAGTTTAAATATAATGGCATAAAACATTGTCTCATGTTCTATTTCAACCAAGTAAGATGTTTTTAGTAAGCAAAACTGGCTAGCAGACATCTTTACCTTGAGACAAGCTAGATTAACATCTTTATTTCCCCACTTACATCTTTTTGCTTCAGCTTGTTTTCAGAGGGGTTACCATGACACAAAAGCAGCGTAACTCATTGTTGAGCCAGGCCTTTTGTCATCCTGTGACACATTTTTTGTGACAGCACAGTTTTTAGCACCATTATTGCCAGACAAAGAGATACTGACACTGTTGAGAAAGATAGTGTTGAATGCTCAGCACAGCCTGACTTACTCCAGTGCCCCGGGCGTCTATTAAGAACACTCCAGCATTATTCCCATGTTTACATTTGGCATATTACTCTTATTATTTGCTTTGTTTTCCTTTAATCAAGGCTCAAAATGCTATCATGTTCCCTTATTATTTTTCGTTTCTCAGTGCTGTCATACTCTACAGTCAAAAAGCATGAAAAACCTGGAAATAATTGACCTTCTCAGACTGAGATTGAGCTTAAAAGTCAGATGGTCAATTAAGTGCCTGTAACAACCCATTGAGCAATTTTTCAGTTAGGAACATCCACTTTCACAGTGTCTGAAATCATCTGTGCCAATGTACACCACATAAATAAATAAATAAATAAACATATATAAATACATAAATAAAAAGCTAAGGGATACTCTGTGAGATAAGATCCCCTTCTATAAAAAGAAGACACACAAGAAGTGGCACAGAAAAGGGAGTGAACTTCACTGAGAGATTAACTGCTTCTTCATTTTGCCCCCTCTCTGCTACAGAAAGGCAGTATTGTTTTTAAATGCAGGCAAAAATCTGAAAAATTCTCATTTAGCATAATGGTAAACAACTTTTGACTCAACCCTGTGTTCACACAACTATGAAAATGACTTGAAAAAGAAGTGTTAGGTCACAGGTTTGGTAATTGGAAGATGATACTGGGCATCACTAAGATGAAAGGTTAGAATACTAGTTGTGCCAGTGAAAGGCTATGCTTCACAGCAGAGATTATGCTGCTTTATTTAGTATGATTTTAGATGTGCCAGGTGTTGGTACATCCAGCAATGTTCTCATGGGAGACCATTCTACAGCCCAACAATTATCACTCTGGGCAAACAGCCTCTGTTCTTCCCTGCCCTTGCCAACTGAACGCAGCTGAGCCAGCTCTGTGTTCTCTTTTCAGGTAAGTCCTCTTAGATGCTCTTGATTTTGCAGCGTCTCTTTGTGTTTAGGCTCAAGCCAGAGGCATTTTCAATTTTTTTTTCTTTTTTTTCTGCCTCAAAGTATCGAGGCAAAAATCCCCATTTTGCCAATTGTCTCAAGTGGCAATTGAACAGCTTCTTAATTTCACCTGAGTTACTAGCATGGATTGCCTAGGATGTGCAGGCAAATATGTTAATGCACATTGTGACTCCACAAAACTGCAGTATCATAAGAAGTGGAAGAAAAAGCATCCATTTTAAAAAGAGACTGCATGCTTTTTACACTTTTGTCTAAGTTTTTAATCAAGACATTGATGACTTCATATGACTCTGAATTCTCAGGAATCATTCTAGGTATTCAAGAACAGGAACTTAATTCAAAAGCAGTTACAGTCAGAACATTTTCATGGCTGCTGCTTTGCTTGAAGAAATTCAGATCCAGATTTCTGTTTTGTCAGCTTTAAAGGGTTTACATCCTTGTGCTTATGGTCTGCATTTCTAGGTCAACAGACGTAACACACTCAGTGTGTTTGTGATCTTGGATAACTTTTACAAAATACTAGTTGTACCGGTGACTTCTGGGATTGTGCTACCACACTAATTCTCTAAATACCATAAATATGTTACATAAGCATTTTAGACTACAAAAATGCTTGGGAAGAATAATCTTAATGATTATATATTATTGTAAACAAAAGTATTTTATGTATATACTAATGTATTATTAATTGAATCACAAATGCATGTTGTTGTATTGTCACTTTTCATTTGTGTTATTGTTTATATCAAATTCTTCTGCTCTTATCTTTAAAATTAAATACAAATTTTATAAATCCAGGCACAACTAAGGAAGCAAGGCAAACTATTTCTTTTAACTTCAGGTCAAAAAACCAGAACAGAAAATATTAAGCAGTTCCACAAGCATTAAAAACCTTGTGCAACTTGCACATTATCTTAATGGTGATACAAGTTTTGCTTATCATCTTGCTGATGGTATTCTTAGTATTTCCTTATTTGCTTTTCAGAATAGTGACATTCTTTTCCACACATGCCTGAGTCTGCCAAGTGAAATGAGTTCCTGAAACAAACTGAAGGCCAGTACTTACAATAACAACATGAAAAGATTTTTTTCAGCTAGCTAGATGCGTTGTGTCAACTCAATCCTGGCTTTTTATTCATTCTCTCACCACATAGAAAGTTACACTGATGCTGCAGTGTACTTCCATGTAGCCAGATTCAACAAACCACAGTAGTTATCATCCATGTACTTCAGTCCTTTGACCCACATTCTGTGGTCAATTAATAAGTTGACAGTCTGTAAGGTTGTTTCACACTGGGATTGAGTGAGGATGACAAGGAGAGGGCCCTACATCAGTGGTTTCTTTTCACAGTACACTTAAATACCATCAAATCCACAATCAATGGCAATGCACACATGTTTAACAAAGCTTTTAACCTTTTAGCCATCGGGCCATCTGCCTTTCAAGAAATATTGCTCGTGGTTCAAACAGCATGCAAGGGATTGTGTTCTTCCTACATGTTCTTATGACCAGAATCTCTGGGTGGATGACGGCTTGGAAATCTCTTCAACTACCCCACTGCCTCTCAAATTTTTTAAA